CACGTGTTCAAATTTCATTAAAACAAACAATGCATTTTACATATACATGTATTGTGTACGTCGCTGTGAGTCCCATATCAAACAGGACGTATATACACCACTACAATATACCTCAGTCCTTTAATATTGGTCAAAATATCAATATTGAATTTCAAATATATTCATTGTGCTAATCATTTATTGAGGTAAAAACGTTTTAATTTTTTTTTTCTAGAGCGGTTATCTCTCAACAACCATGTTCTTTTAGAAGGAATACAACAAGCAAAGATTGGTGGATTGAGGGTGAGTTTACACAGCTTAAGGATTATCCAGATATTTTCTATATGATGATAGTGCATTGGTTGGTTTAAAATGGACATGCAGGAGTTTTCTCATGAGAACTTGCATATTCTACCATCCATGTATCAGCATATATTTACAGATATTTATTTTTAAATAATTTTAAAATTGTTCATAATTGAACGTAATAATTGATTAATCTTATTAATTGGTAATGTAAATATAACTGCTTCCAATTAACATTTGATTTGCTGTATTTAGTTTGGTGACTATTGTAACTTATAACTTCATACATGCTTCTTTTTACTTTATTTGTTATCAGTTGTGAAGTACGCCCTCTATGTTATGTTAACAATCCTGCTCCACTAGTTTGCTTACAGTAACCATGTGTATTGAGCAAACGTATATATCATGTAACCAGTTTCAAAAAGTCTTAGTTCTGCCACTGAGGGCACACTTTTATAAACCAGTGCCATAAAAAATAGACATCCATCCCAAACTGACATGAAGGGATTATCACAGAACATTTCCACATATACTATTTGTTTTATTCTTCTCTATTCCTTTCACTGCCATAATACTGTGGAATACTTTATTTTCGCGGGAATTAATTTTCGCTGAAAAGGCTTTTTGGGCGTTTTGCTTAGAATTTATTTTCACTGATTTTTGATGAGTTTAATGTGAAATATAGGAAAAAAAGTATATTCGCTGGATTTTATTTTCAAGGAATCATCCCTTCAGCGAAATTAGCGAAAATAAATTCCAAGCAAAAATAAAGTATTCTACAGTAGTTCAGAGACCAACACAGCTAGATTGCCAGCTAAGTCACTGTAGCACGTCTTGAGATCATAAAATAATTAGAACTCATGTTGTTTTTTGGGGGGTAATGTTAATTTATGAATCACAAATCACAGTTCAGGAAATGAAATGTGGATTACAAAAGAATATTAAACAATAATTAATAATAATAACTTAAGGCATTTGCAATAGTCTTACCACAGGAATGTCATTTTTAATTACATATATAAGTGTAATAAATTAGGATTAGACAATACTTGGGGATTAGGTTTAGGGCTGAAGGTAGGTGAAGGGTCTGTATAGTGTAAGTCTTGTCATGAGCTTTGACGCATTGTTAAATGAAAAATGAAGGCTTTATCCCTGTTCTACACGATAGTAATGCTTCAAAAATACTCATTGCAGTATTGATGAATTAGTTGAACTGTTGTTGATTCTTAATTCATCGATTCAGATTTCATTCGTTGATTTATGAATTACCATAACCTGTTTTTCAGGTAATTTGTAGGCCATTGTCACAGTTACTTTCCTTGAGTACTAGCTATAGTTATTGTGTTCTCTGTTAGTATTGTCACAAAAATAACCTTGTGTAAACCAGCATTTAAGTTATAATGGTGGTGGTGTATATATTGTAGTGGTATATATTGTAGTGATGTATATATTGGTAGTTGTGTATATATTGTAGTGGTATATATATTGTAGTTGTGTATATATTGTAGTGATGTATATATTGGTAGTGGTGTATATATTGTAGTGGTGTATATATTGTAGTAATGTATATATTGTAGTGGTGTATATATTGTAGTGATGTATATATTGTAGTGATGTATATATTGGTAGTGGTGTATATATTGTAGTGATGTATGTATTGGTAGTGGT